ACCCATGACTGTTAGAGCACCGTAATGCCTCCCAAACGTCCTTTGTTGTTTACGGTGATGGAATCAGACACTTGGTCCGAGATGCACCGTGCCAGGGGCATGTTGAGTAAAAACAACCGAAGGCGGTAACAGGTACGGTGACTGGTGTGCAATGAAGTCACCATCTAACGAGAATCACACGCATGTAGTAAAATATTTGCGTAGATTCCGCCTATCTCTTCTATTACAAGCCACGAGGAGGCGTGACTGCTTTTGTTATTTACTGCCACCGCGACATGGCTTGCGTAGAAACTCCGACGATATTTGCATGCACTGTGCTCTTGTCGGAGCATTGTCGGTCGTGGACGCTTGCAACGGACTTACATAGTGCAAGAGTTTTGAGAAGACGATGATGTGGTCACTGGAACAAGACTTTTTATTCGTCGTTTCTGCTATCATGAGTTTTTTTCTGGAGAACAGAAAGTTACGGGGAACAGAGTTCGACCATCCCGACGACAAGAGATAAAATGGAACTGATGAGTATGCTTTCGCCATACAGTAACAATTCGAAGAGTGCCGATACACGCGAATGTGCGGCAATGTGGAAATCGCGTGAACCGCGAGCTTCTTCAGCCATGGTTCACGGGCCCCAAGTATTTTAAGAAGTGCAATGACCTCCAAACCTATATACAGTGCTGACACTAAATTTAACGAAATTAATTAGCAATTCTGAGAGAGCACGGAAGAACCCTGCCTCCACGCCCACGTCGGCGAGTCACGCCAACATCCAAAACGGGTGACTAAATTTCGGGAGTTAACAACTCGACTGAGGGCCATCAAGCAATTATCAAATCAGAGGGCAATCATCCCCGATGAAGGGCGCGAGGTGGGCGTGAATTGTCATAGGAAGGCGGTAGCATGGGAACAACATCCTAAAAATACTGCGATTCATTGTATATGCATTACCCGTATCTAGCGAGTTCGAACATGAATCCGAAACGTCAAACGAATATAGTTCTTGTTCCGGCGATCGCGTCTACTGCGTTTCAATTACTTCATTGTCGGCAAAGGTTTACAATCCAACATCAATAGCAACTTTCAAAATAAATAAAACTGAACTGAACCTTGTTTCCTTTTATTCTTACCGGCCTACCTGCTGAAAATTAATCCGAATACGAAAATTACGCAACGCGATTCGCTTGGCGAAACCGAAATTTTCACGAGAGGTGATAATAGCGAGTCACGAACAGCTTGAGTCATGGTAATGGAGCCATGACCTCCCCAGCCCGTCGCCATTGAAGGTACTTCGTTTGGCCACTCGAGGAGCACGCAGGCGAGCACTGTTTCCAGTGGGTCAGCTGACCGAGCAATCATCACGCCAACACGGGTGATTAAATTTCAGCAGCTAACGACCCGAATGTCGGCCATCAAGCAATTATCGCAACAGAGGTCAATCATGGATAAGTAAGAAGACTTATAGAACACCGAATCAACTGGTTTATTGTCCTGAGCTTTCGAACTCTTACAGGTAAATCATCCTCGATTAAGTGGGAGCCGCTAATTGTCATAGGTAGTTGGTAGAATGACGATCGCATTCTTGTGTTTGAATTATCATGGCTGATGGGTTCGAGCATGAAACCAAAACATCAGACGAATAAAATTCATGTTCCAAAGATTGTGTCTGCTTCCTGACACAAATTATCTTCTAAGTTTCCGCACTTGTAAATGATGTTATTCGCTCTCTCTACAAGACCGCCTTCAATACGACCTCTGTTAGCTTGACAGGATTCGGATAGGTCGAGTCCCTGAAGGATGTAACTACCCCGATCTTCAAGTTAGAACTTCACCGATTCGCTTCAGTGATCTTATTATTAGTCTTACGGAGGTCGGCGACTAGTAAAAATACTAAACGAACTATTTAGCACATTGTCAGCACCGGATAACTGAGCCAAGAATAGTTACCTGAGGTGGCTTTAACTAAGGCCAATAGACTGGATCCACTATAATAAGCAAAGGCGTGCTAAAAATAAGCCTCCAACTAAAAAACGACGGCAGACGAGTCCATATACTTTATTAGGGGCCCTGACAGCAGCCGTAGCGGCTAGTACTTTAGGCAGATAGTAAAGAGGTCGCTTCAAGGTTGAAGACATAGGTCATGATGTACAATGGTGGTTTTTAGGTATTTAAAAAACGCCTGAAGCCCAAAGGCAAACGTTGTACTCAACAGAAATGTTGACGGATAAATCGAACATCGACAAGTCATCCGCTGAGATTAATCAAGACTACTGCAGATTTAGAAGAGGGAGATCTCAATTTGCATTTGCACCTAGATGGCTTGGTAAGAGCTGGGGCAAATTTAGACTCGAAGCGCATCTGCAGTCTATAATTTGCGGGCTAATGAAACAAACGGTTAAGAGTTACGCGAGTTTATATCTAATGAACCTAAAAATGCTGGAAACGGACAGCACTCCACTAGTCGAGGTTATCACATCAAACACGTAAGCCAAACGATAAAATGCTGGCTCCTTATGTTCGTAAATATCAAAAGACCAGAGAGATTATTTCTGGAATATTTACTCCAATCGATCAACCGTACACCAACAGGCGGACAGTCAAGGTTTAAGCAAAATCAGCAGGTCATCGAGCATTTTTTAAGCAACCCTAACGAAAATTTAGGCCCGGAACCCCAACAGAATACGGAAAAGCCAATTTCCCCTGCACGTAGGTTCATGTGATGTTGAATACTACGACCGTAACTGGCAAGATAAGGAACAGTAGTGCAAGCAGTAGGTCATAACGTGTAAACTCGAGGACCAATTCGCTTGAGTTCAAATTGCACGTTGTTGCCCGGGTTTAGAGCATGACGAGCTGACAACGGCATGTAAGCCGGGCAAGACTATTTCTAGTTCTCTGTCGTTGTGAGTACTAAGTATGCATTACTTAGTGCTTGTCGTGCGACTGCCTGAAAGAGCTTTAGACACAAAATTCCTCAGAGAAACGAGAACGTCAACTTTCCATCCTCCAATCAACCGGGTTAGGTCGAGGAATTCCATTTCAATTTCGCGCTGTGACAGGATCAATAGTCGTTGTGAGAAGTAGGGGTAAACGCTGCTTAAATTTGATACCTATCAAGTGTAGGAAAATATCCAGGCAGTAGAAATGGTGATGTTATAATATTAAAAAATTGCCAAGCTACTAGATTAAACGCTGACGCGTTTTGTGTTTCAACTTCTTACTGAAGGGAAATGATGTTTTAAGAAATAAGTCCTGAGTCGTTTCAATCGAAAACATAGGGTCTCAAATAGAACGTCTTACCTTTATGGCTGATGACTCATTTTGGGTCGCATACGTTAGCTCGGCTACTTCTGTTTGCTTCTTCTTCGCACAACGCCTGGCATACTTGCGATTCTGGAGGCGACGTCGACGGCTACGAAATTCATGATGCTGCTCAGGACTGATAATGTGCTGTTCGAGGAGATTTCGCAGCTGCACTGTGGTCATGTGGACGAGTTCTTCATCGGTGTATTCGTACGGTTGCATGCCTGATTCTGTATAGACGAGAGAGCTGCAACTAAACAAGATAGACGTCAGAACAATCTAGGTCAATATCATTGTCTGACTTCGATGCATTGTAATTCCGATGTAGCGAGACTCTAAA